GTTCTCTTAAACAACAGAACGGAATAAAAACGGAATTACTATGATTGGCCCCCCCTATGGCCGGTATTCATAGTCGGATTTTATTTTTAAAGCTGGCTTAAGTTCATCTTCAGATACTCCGTAGCCAATGAAATGATCTGAAGAATCCATTCATCATCTGAAGATAAACTTAAGACGGTCTTAAATATAAGATTTGACTATGAATACCGGCCTATATCACTTTTCCGTAACTGTTCCGTGAGACCGACGTCCCATAGGGCGGAAATTTTCTGCGGAACGGAACACGCGGAACCAGTACAACCAATCACAGCCGTTCCGCTCTTTTAGCCGTTTCGCTATAATCTTATCGCTGCAAATTTTGCGGAAAGGATAAAGATAGACGCGGATAACCTCAACATATCTTACATATCTCATTTGCTTCTTATACATTTATTATATATATATATATATATTTTTTTTTTCGACATTCTTTATTATTTTGTTTAGAAATGATGAGTGAAGGGATCGTAAGTATAATAAGATGTTAATATTTTGATAATTATAGTAAACAATTATGTATAATATGTGAATATATTTATATGTTTAATTAACAGCCACAGTCGACAAAAATCACATAATATATTCTCCATAATTAATCACAACAGATCTCACTTTATTATACTATATATCACCGCAATTCCGCTGATATACTTTTCCTTCTGTCCCATGAAGCGATAAACGCGGCAGCGGAATTATGTTTTAGCTAATCGTAAAATAGTTGCATATTTTTGTAAAAAGTATTTTACTGAGAAACTAATTTTATTCTTTACTAATTGATATATTTACTAATTGATATATTATATCATGTATAAAATATTAAAATTATTAAAAACGTAAGAAATAACATTAAAAAGTCTACTTTTTGTATTATTCCACGTGATCTGCTTCCGCGTATTCCGCTTCATGGGACACAAGGAAAATAGAAAAAGCGCCGGAAGAAAAGCAGAACAGCTGTGATTGGTCGTGCTAACTCCGCACGTTCCGTTCCGCTGAAAATTTCCGCTCCGTGGGACGGCGCTCTAAAGGCCCTATTGTGCAACTATTGAGTTCGCTGAACGTACTCAGTGTAATTGATCTAGATTTAGGGATTTATCACGCCCAATGGGTGCGGTCAGCGGAAAAAGCGCTCAGTGAGCAATCAGTGATTATTGGTTCTTACTGTTAGATCTCTAAATCTAGATCAATTACATTGGGCGCGTTCAGCAGAAAAAGCGCTCAGTGAGCAATCAGCGATTATTGGTTCTTACTGTTAGATCTCTAAATCTAGACCAATTACATTAACGAATTGTTCAACTGTTGTACAACTGTTGAGTTCGCTGAACGCACCCATTGGCTGCATTCAGCAGACTCAACAGTTGCACAACAGTTGAGTAATTTGTCAATGTAATTGGTCTAGATTTAGGGATCTAATAGCAAGAAC